CCCCCCCCCAGAAAGTTAATCGATTTTTTTGCCCCCCCCCCCTAGAAAGTTTTCTGCGGGCGCCTATGCCTATATGCAGTGTATATCAATGATATTCAGAGCACATGAAACAGCGTTCCAATCATTGAAATAGCTGATGACCACCACTGTTGGCTTAGTACCCGAAGGGGAAAAGCTTGTATCGCAACTTAGTCACAAGCTTGATCAGTTAGTGCAATGAAAATGTTCTTCAGTTGAAGTCTCGAAAACGAAAGAAATTGTTGTCGATTTCCGGAGGGGGAATCACCCATCTGCAGATCTCACAATAAATAATCTCAGTATAGAGCAGGGGTTGATAAAGCGCGGCTCGCGAGCCACATGCGGCTCTTTAGCGACCTGAGTGTGGCTCGGCCAGTCGACTACAAATCGGGTTTGACTCTGAAAAACATGGCTCTTAACAGGTTCTTAAAAATAAATTTCGCTCTTAATTTTTTTTTTTAAAATCGTCCTGCTGCTGATATTTGGCTCTTTTGACTAATGAGTTTGCCGACCACAAATAAAGACATATAAGTGTCTAGGTGTCAAATTTAACAATAAGCTGACGGGCATGAACATGGGCAAATTCTGTATAAAAATATCAACCAAAGACTTTTCTGTCTAAAAAAAAATAAATAAATAAAAAAATACCATGTTATTAACTTATTGTACAGTGCAACAATTTTGAAGCCTACGAAACTTCATTATTACCTGATGGTGTGGGAATTCATCGTCTAACATCAATTATTGATTAAATAAACTAATCAAGGGAGCTAGTGATATATCACAAACTAAACATCATTCATTTGAAAAAAAAAATATTTGATAAAAATGCTTGTGTAAAACTTTTTTTTTTAAAAAGCAAAAAATGAAAGAAAAGCGTAAAATACACCCCACCCTCTCCATCACAGATACCTAAGATCAAATTACACCCTCCTCATCACATTTACCTAAGATCAAACTCTAACCTCTTCATCACAGATACCTAAGATCAAATTCAAACCTCTTCATGCACACACAAAATAAAGGCGGAGTAGAGGGCTATTTAAATTTGTTAAGACTACCTTAAAAGGTTGCGTGGTAAAAAAAACAACAACAACATAACCATAGAGCAGCGGTTCTTAAACTTTTTCTGACCATCGCCTTCTTGGACAGAAGCCCACTTTAGCGCCCTGCTCTCCGTTTCACAACATTTCAACACATTTCAATGACATCAACCCCTCTTACCTCCGGTATGATCAAAGTTTCGGCACCCTTATGTCATAACGTCCAGCTGCGCATCCGCTGCTTCTCTCGTTGCACGGCTCTGGTTTTGAGCCTAAATGCACCCTCTAGCGCTATCATGTCTTACTCATCTTTAAAAATCCTTTGGCTTAGTGAGAATGGTAGTGTGCAAGAACCTTAAATGAAGATGAAAATGCTCCAGAATGTAGGAAATGACACGCAGACGGACTCACAGACGTCAAACAAACATGTAGGCTGTGACGAATAAATAAAAGCAGACAAACTGAAAGATATATTAATAGATAATAATACGATGACAGACAAACAAGCTGGTAGATATTTAGATATGTTACTCAAAATAACAATTTAATGTAAATTAATTACATTAAATTGTTATTTTCTGATATCAAGACATAAAATACTGCATCGCGATCTATATGTGAAATAACCAAGGTAGCACCGCCTTACGATCGCCACTGCGTTGTTATGTAATGATTTTCTCATTTGAAAGTAACGCGGAAATATTGCCAGATATTGGCAGTAGCGCATGAGAGTGGGTTCGCCTCTCGCGCATCAGCCCCCCCTTGTTGTTACTGGCGCGCTGCAGCAGTGTGCGTTCTTTCTTCGATCATTGCAGGTGGGGTTTAGCTCTGCCACCAGAGGTAGAAAACACTTCACTAGCGCTGCAATCATGTCCGAGTCGTACGACGAGATCAAGAAAAAGTTCGCCAAAACCAAAATTCTATACGAGGATAATGCGTTTCCTGCCAATTCAACCGTGTTGTACAGAAGTGGGCCCCGATACGGGGTCAGGTGGATGCGACCTAAGGTAAATGACTTTATTCATTTAATAGGTGGGGGGTTTTATCTGGCGACCCCGGGGGAGGTGGGGGTCGCAAACAACTTCGGAGCACAATGTTTTGGTTCATATAATATTGCTGGCTCGGAAATGGAGTTGAGAAAAGTATAACGATGAGAGGCACATGACAGCAAAGGGTTATTGAAAAGTGGCAGATGTGCGAATGTCCTCTATGGCTGACGACCTCCACCCCCCCCAGTGTCTTTTTATAGATGTTGTGAATATGTTCCCTGGTCATTTGTGGGCAAAAAATAGTTAGGGCATAAATAGGAGGTTTTGTGATCCATTTAAAAGGGCGTCTTGTATACTTTTTTTTGTCTCGCTTTCCCCTCCCCAACCCAACCGCACACAAGCAGCAAACAACACCCCCCGCCCCCGTTTTTCCCCTTCTAAATAAAAGTATGTGCCTTAATTAGGGCGTGTCCTCACTTGACTACATGAACACTCGAAATGAGTTCCTTTATTTTAACGTTAAAAGTTACAACCATCCTCGCATTCCTTTACTTTGACCTACGTTTTCTGAATGTCATGGGTCGCTGTTAACGTATGCTTGTGGTGTATCGTGACCAAATATAAAATGAGTAAAAACAGAGTAAGGTTAAACCTGAAAAATGTGCAAGAGTCAGTCTCCATCGCCATGACATGAAACAAGAACCTTCGTTTTGGAGGATCTATACGGTGTTAAACAATACGCCTACTCTCCACATTTCTTTTGCTGCCGACAGATACTACTTCCCAGCTAAGGGCTATTTCTTATTTTTATTCTTATATCGTTTTTTTCTGTTGTTTTGTTCGCAGACGAAGGCTTTCTGGCGACACGTTCGCTGTTTTGTTGCGTTTATTTTTTCAGGTTTAACCCTACTCTGTTTTACTCGTTTTATATTGTACTAACCTGATTGCAGTCTCTCCCCTTATTACCCCCATCATGACCAAACTGGGCATTGTTTCAAGGGGACCTTCTTACCTGAGAGTAGGCGTAATGTTTAACACCGCATAGATCCTCCAAAACGAAGGTTCTTGTTTCATGTCATGGCGATGGAGACTGACTCTTGCATCCTGTCATTTGGATGTGCTCTTCATCACCAGGCCTTGCCAGCACACGATCATGTATAACTATTTGACTCACAGTAGGGGGTACGTTTTCAAACGGAATAGTTTGCAAAGGTTGTTTCTTTGTATACAGTTACTGTAAATGCTGTCAATAGTTCCAATCAGTGGCGTAGCTATTAGTGTTTGTGCCACGAGAAGAAAAAAAAACAATATACCTGGGGCGGCTTGCCCCTTTCGCCCTTCTCTTCTTTATTCTTACTTCACTGGTCCGATGTTATAGCCTGTGAGTTGATCTAGTTTTT